TTCTCTGCTCTACTTTTTATATCCTTGTACAAACCCACTTTTGATGACCCCATTCCCATTTTTCCTTCTAGTAAATTATACTTTCTCTATGTCTATGTTAGTATTTTTCTTCCTTTCTTTTCTTTGTTTCCTCTTCAGTGTTAGTATCATGGGTAAAACCCCAAATCTCTGTTATTGAATGTGTTTTCATTATGTAAAAATCTTAATTTATTTTTCTTTGACTGGCTGACTTTTTTCTTTTTTTTTTTTTTTAGCCCAACCTCAGCGCTTGCCTCAGCTTCAGACTTCAGCACAGGCACTGAGTGATGAGGAAATAAGCAAGATAAAGAACGGCCACACAGGTCTGAGCAATGGAAATGGAATTCACCATGGGGCCAAACATGGATCCACAGATAATCGCAAACTTTCAGCACCTGTTTCTCAAAAAATGCATAGAAAAATTCAGTCCAGCTTGTCTGTAAACAGCGATATCAGTAAGAAGAGCAAAGTAAATGCTGTCTTTTCCCAAAAGACAGGCTCTTCACCTGAAGGTAAGTTTGAGATATATGTAGATTTTATTTGACTAGATGTAAAATAATATTTTCTGGTAATTATTTGATCAAGCCAATATAATTGAAGAATCTTGCTTATCCTTCAGACAAACAGGAATTTTGGTAAAATGCAGTTTAACTTCCCCAAAGGAAAGCACAAGTTAGAAAAGGAAGCAGTGGCAGCTGACATCCTGCTTTTAGATGATCGTCTTCTAGAGTGAATAGTCATTACTTTAAATATATCTGCTATACTTCTTTTTTTAATGCCACATTTAAAAATATAAATACAACATTTCGATGGCATACACGAGTATGTGTGTGTGTATTTTTATCCCTCCCTGATGCAATATGTTATTCTATAGTTCAGAGATAAGATTACCTGCTTGTATTTTTGTCTTGCAAATCAGTTCTTAAATAGACAAAGTTAAAATGAGAGAAAGATTAGGTAATTTTCACACTCTTGCCAGGGAATGGGCCAAGTGATTTTTGTTGCATGACTGACCAGCATCTTCCAGCCACCATGTTGGCCAGCACTGCAACTACCTTCACTCCCATCACATTCCACCCTCACTGTGGTCAGGTCACCAACTCCTCCTTTAGAGGCACTTGGCTGTGTTCTCTGACCCCTGGGGAACTAGCGATTACCTCTTCAGTTCTATCTCATCCTGCCCTTGGCCGGGTTAAAGGCAGGTTAAATACTATGAACCTGAGAAAGTTTTTCTTTATTAATCAAACAAATTGCACAGGGTGACAAACTACAGACTCCCTTTACATGATTCATTTTATTATATTAAAAAAATAAAAATCTCCTCCCATATTTAAGGATCTGAATTTCTTTCAATGTATCCATGGTCCTCTGGTTTTCCTCCTTTCCCCTTTTAGCAGTTATTGGATGTCTAAAGTCTTGAATCTGTTATATGTATCTGATATACATATATTTCTCCTGATTCCCTTTTCCTTTCTATTCTGCTATGAAATCTTAAATAAGAGAAATTCTGTGGAATGCCTCTGTGAAGTTGGTTATGCTTATTCATAGAGATAAATTGAGTTGTAAATAGGAAATTGTATTGAGAATTACCAGTAATGAGTGGGAGAAAGGATATTACATTTTGGCTACAGGTGTCTCAAACTCAACTGAGATAAAGTGTTAGGTTGATCAAATGATATGATAATAAATGGTCTGCATAGTTCCAGGTCAGTGACACTACTTTCCAAACTAATTAGATTGAAAGGGACTTGATTGACACTTTAAAATGAGTTTGACATGTAAGCTGCATGGTCATCTCTGAAGCATAGGTAGGCTGTTAACTAAACCGGCTCTCCAAGGAGTTGGGAAGGCAATGCAATTTTCTTTAGAGGATCTTCGCTTCTAGGTGATTGGGTGAAATAATTGAATGCAATTGAAATCTACTTGTTTTATACATTTGAATTGACTTACTATGTCCCTAACCTCTTATTTTCCATTTGATATTTACTTATTTTTGTATTAAAGAATGGGAACATTTGCATATCCATCCTAACTTGAAATAGTTTATGCAATTTTTATAATTTTTGTTATTTTTTGCCTTTAATACCATGTCTGAATTTATTTCTAGTGTAAGAATGCAGCTTCATAAGTAACATATGAAGGAGGAAGAAAATCACCAGTATGTGACTGAGATATAGTTTTACTCTTCCTCTTTCTCTTCCTTCTCCTTTCTTCTCCCCATTCCTTCCCGCTTTTTCTTTTTCTTTCTCTTCTCCTCTCATGCTCACTTTCACACTTATGGCCTATCACAGGGCTCTGGATAAAGGAAGTCTCCTGTAGTCTGCTTTTATCACAAAATATGTTCCAGATTGGGTTGGGGACATGAGGAGCATAAAATACAAATGTAACTGTCTAAATATATTTTGCAAAGTCTTACCCATGTCTTCACTGTAAGACTGCAGAATTTAGACAATTGTAGGTTTCATTTATTACGATTGCTTGAATCTAGATGAAAATTTCATTGTCCATATTTTTCTCAAAGTAGGATGTCTTCATGATTTTTCGCTATTTAAGGTTGCACCCTAAAATTTTTTTGTTTCTTCCGACTTTCAGTTTTGAAGTTACGTTTATTCTCTGGCAATGTGCTGTAATAAAGACCAAAACCAAACCAAAACAAAAAAATCTACTGAACTAGTAGATGGCAAATTAAAAGGAAAAACATTCTCAATTCTGCCACCAGTTTTCTAGGGGACTTGAGTTTCTATGGGCCCACTTTTTCTATGAAACGAAGGGTTTGGATTAGATAATTTTAAAAATTAAATTCAGTTCCAAGATTCTGTGAGCCTCTTTTTACAGCACCTGCTTTGCTCTCAGGATAGATCTCTTGCTGTATAGAAGATGTGATGTCTTGTTGAGGAAGCACCTCACACCTGATGTGTGGAACAGGGCAGTGGCAGAAACAGTTGAGGTAGACAGAAATAGCACCTGAATTTCAGGGGATCCATATGTCAGAACAGTAAGCCTCAAATAGGCTTGATTTATTGTGCAAACAAAAACAGGTGGAAATTATTTTTTATAAAGAAATAAGAATGAGGGGATTTAGTGGCTAGATGTCTTAGTCTGTTTGTACTGCTATAACATAATAGCTGAGACTAAAGGCGAGTCAGATTGGCTCATACCTGTAATCCCAGCTCTTTGGGAGAGCTGCCAGGGAGGATCACTTGAGGCCAGGTGTTCAAGACCAGCCTGGGCTACATAGCAAGATCTCACCTCTACAAAAAAGAAAAAAAATATCTAGCTGGGCACAGTGGCATGCACCTGCAGCCTTAACTATTCAGGAGGCTGAGGTGGGAGGATCATTTGAGCCCAAGATTTTCAGGTTACAGTGAGCTATGATTGTGCCACTACATTCCAGCCTGGGTGACAAAGTGAGACCCTGTCTCTAAAATAAATAAATAAATAGATAAATAAATAAACAAAACACCTGAGACTGGATATTTGATGAAGATCAGAAGTTTATTTTCTCTCAGTTTTGGATGCTGGGAGGAGCAAAATCAAGGTGCTGGCAGGGTAGGTTGTCTGGTGATGGCCATTCTCTGCTTCTAAGATGATGCCTTGTTGCTGCATCCTTGGAAAGGGAGGAGCGCTGTGTCCTCCCATGGCAGAAAGCAGAAGGGCAAGAGACCAAAACCTGCATGAAACCTCTTTTATAATGGCCTTAATCTCCTTAATTAAGGAGAAGGCCTCATGACCAAATCACCTCTTAAAGGACTTGACTTACCTCTTAATACCATCACATTGGCCATTAAGTTTCAACATGTGGGTTTTGGAGAGGTTACATTCAAACCATAGCATAAGGCTTTACTTAGTTTTTTTATTTTTCTGCTTCACATTTTTGTTAAATCATCATCTTCTATGCCTGTTCTTCCAACAGCAAATGGACAAGCAAATAGCAAACAAATCGCAAAATAATATTAACTAAAATTCTCAAAAGCAACTAATCATGCCCACTTTGACAATGTTTTGCATGTTGACATACAAACATGGTGCTTGTGGTTGTGATTTTCACACTGCGTATAAATTATATCAACAACTAAAAGAGTTTTTTCGTTCCGATAAGGGAATACAATATTTACAAATTTTCTAGTGTTTGATTAAGAACACTAAGGGTGTCTTTGCTAACCAGCATAGCAAAACCCTGCTAAGACATGATTCATACCAGCCATAATTGAGTCTGTGGGTTGGCAAGATGTTTTAATATGTCTTTATCTGTGAGTGTCCTAAGGCCTGAGAACAAAGAGGCCTGCACTTCATGAGTACTTTTTAAGCCGTGTTGATTCATATAATTAGAGTGCCTTCTATGTGCCACCTGCTCCTCTCACATGAACTCATTTAGTCCTCCCAACAACAGTGCAATTCTATGAATTATATGAAATTATCTAATTATAAAGGAGGAAACTGAGGCACAGAGAAGTTAAAGGAAACCACCAAAGGCAACTGGTGCATGGTAAAATTGAGATTCAAACTCAGACATTCTGGTTCCACAGTCCATGTTCCTAACCTCTGTGCTATTTTGTGTAACTGAAGTTTTCTGAGAAAAAGGTAATTTATTGGACATTTCAACATCACATAGGATGTTCATGGGTTACAGCTGTGGGCCAAAAAGCGATTTTCTTATTAGTACACATTTGCCTCTTGAAGCCCTTCATACCACAGTTTTAAAAACAACTCTCACACCTGTGCTGAAAAGGCTGGACTGAGTCTGAGTAAAAAAAAATTGCTTTAATGCATGTGGTGCTCAACATAGAAGCATCGTAGAGTCTCTCAAGAGTTAATGAATGATACAATGCTCTATTCCAAATCACTTTATCCTACTCTTCCTTGAAACAAGCCCTGGAAAATAAAATGTGTGCTCATAGTCACACAAAAAAATGTTCTTTTAAAAAGTTCCATTTTTGCAATAAAGGAAAAAAATCCATGTGGGAAAAAATTGCATGTTTTATTTAAAGGTTATTAAATTAGTAGATTTCTACTTGTTTTGTATAATTAAATATTTTCATACATACTTTAATTTTCTGATTGCATCACCCAGGTGGAGAGTTTTAAGACTAAATGTTTAAGATTCTTGACCTTTGAAATAATTATAGTATAATTTAGTATCATATAATATTCAAATTGCCAAGGGTTTTCATTAGACTCAAAGACACTTCTCTTATCATAGGAATGGTAAATCCTAATGTGTTTTACATGTGCCAGTTATATCTATATATTTTTATAAAAATCAAGTTCCAACAAAATACTTTTAAAAAGATTTTATACTTGTTAGGAATTTTTGATAGTTAATTTACACTCCATACTTGATATTCCACATTTAGAATGTATAGAGAAATATATATCTAGTCCTAGTATATCATTGAACATAAATGCTAAACAAGACAATGAAGACCATTATACAGATGGAAATAACTACAATCATCTCATTTTTAATCACATTGAAGCAGTATGGTGTAGTAATTAGAGCACAAACTCTGAA